TTGATAAATACATGCTCTACACCATGGTAAGAATAACAAGTAAACTTTTAGACTATGTATTTTCTTCCTTTTCTTTTCTATAATTTATCAGACCCAATGATCTAGTCCCATTGTGAATAATGAAACATTGTTTGCTCCCCATCGTGGATAATGAAACTAACTGAATTTTAGTTTTACCCATAATGTTTTAATCTATACCTGCACCCGAGTGACAGATGGCATATATCCACTTTACAGAGTGTTTAACACAGTGGAAAATAATATTCTGGGAGTGAGCAGACAACTTGCAGACCTACCCTGGCTCTGCCACTACTGTGTTGTACATTACAGAAGTCACATCCTTCCTGATGACTCAGTTTCCTTGCACAATGAAGAAGTCTGACTCAAGCTCTGATCTCCCCTTCTTTGATGAAATTATGGGGTTCTTGCTAAGTTTATACCTGGAATTAGAAATTATTACCTCCTCGTATGAATGAAAATAATGGCGATTTTAAATTACTGTTTATTGATTAGAGAAAAGGTCACGTTTTTGTAAAGCTGACTTAGAAATTTATTTTCTGATTCTATTTGTGTTACTTCCCTTGAATCTGCCCAAGGAGCAAATTGACCCTTTGTGCCTCGCAATGAGCACAGCTTCCTGGGGACTCTGTGTGCTGACCTGTCCGTGTGAGGGGACAGAGGAGAGAGTTGACGGCACCAAGGCAAGTGCTGGGCAGCACAGATACCACCCATCAAGACCTGATGAGAAGCAGCTTTTTGTTTTTAATTAAAAACATAACTTTTAAAATGCCTCATTCATTTTTTGTTTTTATAGAATCAAAACACAGAAATTTTTCTTAAATGAAAACCAGAAGCCATTTAAACTTTTTTTTTAAAGCAAGCAAGTTAAAAAAAGCAGCTTAGGAAATTGTTTTTTGTAATTCTGCCAGTTTCAATTTTGATTCCTAATGCAACTAGTGTCAGGATAGTAATATTTGCTTGAAAAGAAAGAGAAAGATAGTCCTAAGTGGCTGTTTCAAACATTTTAGTTGTTTTATTGGCTGATGTGTGACTAGCTACTGTTACTGAAGTTGCTTTGATGAACAACAAAAAATAAATTCATCATGTAACAATTTCAACATTTTAGATATCCTTAGTAAAGTCATATATAAGCAGATCCTAAAAAGTATCTATGACAATAATTCTAATTATTTTTGACTACTTCTGTTAGTGTCACAAATTTAAAGGGGGATATAGGTCAAATTTAGATAAAAGATTAAGTTAAATTAATATAGATGAACAGTATTTATTAAATGTCTATTATTTATTGTTCAGTTTCATTGAAACAACTGGCTTTTTTTTTTCCTGCTATACCCTAGGACCTTGTGGAAAGAACCCAATATCTCATGGTTGCAAAGATTATGAAATATTCAGCTTTACCCATGGGTATTTCCTGACATTTCTTTAGTAAACTGTAGCCTAATAGAAGATATCAGGAATTAGTGTAAGAAATATTCTAAAAAGCTATTGTCACTACAAAGATGAAAGCAACTTTGATGATCAAAAAGAAGTCAATTAAAAAAGACTGAAAGTAGTTCCTGAATCCTCCTCTATTGTTCATTTGGGATTTCTTAATTTCCCTACTCTCAATATATTATGGAATTTTCTGTGTGAAGTTTTGCCATGAATTAAGTTGATGTCAACAAAAGTTTTACCTTAAGTCATATTTTACCACAAACTAGAGAAGCCCCAGTCCTCCAGGGAGCATCTTTTCCTGCCTTTAAGAAGCTTGTCTTTTCTCCTTCTTTCAGTTACAATCGTCATCCACAGAGGATGGGGCTCAGTTGACCTTCAGTGACAATTAGACCTGCTGATTTGACTAGAACCAATCCATGCTCCCAACTGAGGAGGCATTTTCATCTCCTTGACTTGGTACGTGATGGCCAAGTCTGCTGTGCTTGTGTTTCCTTTGCTTGTTGCTTTTCTCTGCCCATGAAAAGTCAATGGCATTGGCTCCTGTGCCACGTATCAGAAACACAATGTCTGCTTTGCTGCCATTCTTAATAAGTTTAATTCCTTGGCCAGGTGTGGTGGCTCATTCCTCTAGTCCCAAGCACTTTGGGAGTCCAAGGCAGGTGAATCACCTGGGGTTGGGAGTTTGACACCAGCCTGACCAACATGGAGAAACCTTGTCTCTACTAAAAATACAAAAAATTAGCTGGGCGTGGTAGTACATGTCTGTTATCCCAGCTACTCGGGAGGCTGAGGCAGGAGAATTGCTTGAACCCAGGAGGCAGAGGTTATGGTGAGCCAAGATCGTGCCATTGCACTTCAGCCTGGGCAACAAGAGTGAAACTCCGTCTTAAAAAAAAAAGTTTACTTCATCTTTCATTGCTGTCCAGTTTTTCTTTTGTATTAGCTAGATATGTAACTTGAAAATTGTCATGAAAGGAGCAAAAGTTTGGAGTTCAGATAAACCTGGATCTGAATACTCCTCTACTACTGTGTGACCTTGGATGAGTTATTCAATCACCCTGGATGTTAGTCTGCTAGTCGCAAAATGCAGATAATACTGATCTTATGTAGCTATTGTGAAAATTAAATGAACTAGTATGTGTAACATTTTTTGTACAGTGTTTGTCATCTTGTCAGCATTTGATAAGGTATAGTTAATATTAATTTTTTTTTGAAATGGAGTTTTGCTCTGTCTCCCAGGCTGGAGTGCAGTGGCATGATCTTGGCTAACTGTAGCCTCCACCTCCCTGGTTCAAGTGATTCTCCTGCCTCAGCCTCCTGAATAGCTAGTACTAAGGTGCCTGCCACCACATCTGGCTAATTTTATATTTTTAGTAGAGACAGGGTTTTGCCATGTTGGCCAGGCTGTTCTCGAACTCCTGACCTCAAGTGATCTGCTTGCCTCGGCCTCCCAAAGTGCTGGGATTACAGGCGTGAGCCACTGTGCCTGGCCTAGTTGTTACTAATTTTTTATTTTAGTATTATTCTATTTTGTTGTCCTATTGTTGGCTGTATTACATAGACACTGTATAAAAATGTCTATAAAATTAAATGAACTAGTATGTGTAACATTTCTTGTACAAACACTGTATAAGAAATACAAGAAATGTCATATATACTAGTTCATTTAATGAATTTATTAATGATTTTAATGAAATTTAATGAATTTAATCAGAGATACACAGCCAGAGCCCACACTACTTGTGAACTTCTTGTTTTGTGACGTAATAAACTGCTTTATTTTTTATGTCAACCACGGGTGGGATAGTCTGTCACTTGCACATAACTGAAACAGGTGTGCATACACTTTTTGTTGTTGTTTTTGTTTTTGAGATGGAGTTTTGCTCTTGTTACTCAGGCTGGAGTGCAATGGTGAGCTCTCAGCTCACTGCAATCTCTGTATCCCAGGTTTATACATACATATAAAATGTATATGTATGTATGTATATTTATGCATATCTTATATATGTGATATGTACATATATATGTGATACACACATGACATGGAATTATAGGAGGGCAAGTCAATTCAGCAGGCATTAATAGTCAGCATCCATTAAGTGCTTACTTCCATCATTTTGTACAATCCTCTACCGTGGGATCCTGTTTGTAAACATCTCCAGAGATTAAAAAAGAAAAAAAAAATCTTCCTTATTAGCCTTAGTTTTGTGTTTACCCTTCCCCCAAGGTCAGAATGAGCTAATCTAATATGTCAATATTCCTGTACTGAGTTTTACAACCAAAGTATAAACATCTGTCAATTCCTATGACTGTTTCTGTACATAATGGATTGGTGGCACTTAGATCAATATTAGCAATGCTATACTCAATGGCTGAGGACCATGCATTTATAAAGGGTTTCATCAAGACTCATGGTCTCTATTAATACATGTTGACTTTTTACTTTAAATTGTCAAAATTATCACTAAGTGTAATTTATTACAACCAGAAGAGCTGGGTGAAAATAATGCTGTCATTTAAAAATAAAATAGGTCATTAGCTATTGTCATAGCCATACTATTCTGGGTTATATTACATTTATTTTGAAAAGAAAGAGGAGAAAACTAAAATTCAAAAGAAAACATGATTTTATGCCTCTTAAGCAAAATAATATCCATTTATTTTGGAACAATGACATAGGAAACACTGTTGGCTGCACATTCAATACTCCATTTCCCCTTCTTTTTGTTCTGGTTTTCCTTCTTCTCCCAGTTTCATCACCAGCAGGTGGATCCTGATTGGTCTAGGCTAGTCTACTCAGTTCTTTTGCCAGTGATTGGGCATGTCAGGCTGACCATGTGATCTTCTTTGGCTAATGACATGAAGAGGGAAGGGGTAGTTCCCAGGAAAGATTTCCTTACTCATTAGAAGGAGACCCTAGAAATTGGCAGCCCCTTTCTGCCTCTGGATAGTGCAGATCTAGGCAGGACACCTGGCACTGCTGCAGCCATCTTGAAGTTGCTTCTAGAATGAGGCCAGCACTGGAGGCAGAGCCATGAGAATGCAGAGATGCATGGCCAGAGCCTAAACTACTTGTGAACTTCTTATTTTATAATAAACTGCTTTATTTTTTATGTCAACCATGGGTGGGATAGTCTATTACTTGCACCCAAAGCATCTTAGCTGAAACAGGTATGCATACACTTATTTGCTGTTTTGTTTTTGTTTTTGAGATTGAGTTTTGCTTTTGTCACTCAGGCTGGAGGTGAGATCTCAGCTCACTACAATCTCTGTATCCCGGGTTCAAGTGATTCTCCTGTCTCAGCCTCCCAAGAAGCTGGGATTACAGATGAATACTACCACACCCAGTTAGTTTTTGTATTTTCAGTAGAGGTGGGGTTTTGCCATGTTGGCCAGGCTTGTGTCAAACTCCTGACCACAGGTGATCCACCCACCTTGGCTCCCAAAGTTCTGGGATTACAGGCATGAGCCACCGCACCCAGCCGCACACACTTCTTGACCTAGAGAAAGTAAACAAGAGAGTCAACTAGGAAAGGAGAGGGTACCTGTTCCTGTGACTCCAGTTCTCTGTGTTGTAATTTTTTCTCTGCACATCGCACCTGGTTAGAGCGGTTTTCTAGTTCATCTTGTAAAACCTGAAGTGGTATAAAATAAAAATATCATTAATAATTAGGATACTTGAAAAAATAGTTTTACCCCATGAACTGGCACTAAAAAGGCCTCAGATCTCTAGTTTATTACTCTTGTTCCAAAGCATTCAGGCAAACAATATGAATTGTGTGTGTCAGGCTAAGATGTTTTCTGCCTTAAGAATACCTAGTATAAAAAATTCCAAAGTTATAAAATAGACAAATTAGCAGATGTCAATCATATATTAAAGTATCTTGTATTTCCAGCACAGAACCACAAGCGTGTAATAAAGTGTATGTAATAAAGCATAACACTATTGTAATCAAAATGACTCAGGACACCTGCAAGGTACACTTATACTCTGAATATCATTGCGACAGGTTGGGATTCTAGTATCTGACCAGCATAACATTTTTCAAAATTATATTATGATAATTTGAGTAAATTATAGTAGTCTTAAAGGAATTTTTTTATAAAGTCAGAGAGGATGGTATGGAATTTGTGGAACTTATAAGAAATGGACAGAGGTGAACTCTTTCAGTTGCCAAGTAGCTGTTTGAAATAGAATTCAGGTTAATATGTGAAACAGAAACCACAAAGACCAATAATTATCACTGAATCAGTTACTATGTTAAGAGGTAACTAGACTTTTTTTCTAGTGTATCATTGTTTTACTGCCCTTGAAGAATAAAACATTTGCTTCTATTCTGCTTATTTCTTAATGTACAGATGGGGGATAGTATTTAAATAAAGTTGGTGTTTTAAAATTAAAAAAAAAAAGTTTCTATGTACTATTTCTATAATGACATTGGATTGTCCATTCAAACAATCCAGTGTCATTATAGAAATACTACATGGAAAGTTACAGTGAGCAGAATGCCTAGGGTGGTAATAGCAAAGGTGCTAAATTCACAAAATTCAATTCATCCAGCCAATATTAGTGAGTTCCTGCTCTATGTCAAGAATTGCAATAGGTACTCTAGACATAGCAGTGAAGAAAACTGACAAATCTCTGGTCAAGCACGGTGGTTCACATCTGCAATACCAACACTTTCAAAGGCGAAGGCAGGAGGATCACTTGAAGCTAGGAATTCAAGACCAGCCTGAACAACACAGCAAGACCATTTCTACAATTTTTTTTTTTTTTGTTTAATTAGCTGGATGTGATGTGCAAACCTGTGGTCCCAGCTACTCAGGGTGCTGAGGCAGGAGGATCACTTGAGCCCAGGAGTTTGATGCTGAAGTGGGCTATGAGCATGCCACAGCACTCCAGTCTGGGTGACAGAATGAGACACTGTTTCAAAAAAAATCCTTGTATTCACATGCTTAGATTATAAGGGGGTGGAGGTAGACAATAAGCAAATAGTAAGTGTGTTATATATCAGTGATGAGGACAGAAGAAAAATAAAGCAGGGAAGGGGACATTGTGGAGTGACGTGAGAAAGGGGGGACTGCAATTTTAAACAGATGGTCCAAGAAGGCCTAACAGGGCAAAGACCTAAAGGACAAGAAAGAGCAAATCACATGTAAATTTCCATAGGAAGAGCCTTCCAAGCAGTGGCCACCACATGTGGAATGACTCCAAGGTGGTGTGCTTGTGGAAGCCATAAGGTCAGTGTTGAGACTGAGCAAAGAAGCAGCAGTGAGGTCAAGGGCATAACAGGGTTCAAGTCACGTCAGATCAGTGGAGTCTCGCAGGTCAAAGGCTTTAGATTTTGCCCAGAGGTAGATGGGAAGATGCTGGGGGGTGGGGAGCAGGTGCTGCTTTCATTGCTGTCTGAGGAGCAGACTGAGGGGCAAGGCAGAGGCAGGGAGCAGGGCAGAGGCCACTGCAACACTGGGAAAGGGAAGATGGAGAACGGGGCCAGGTGGTACCAGCTGATGAAGGAAGGGTCAGGTCCAGGTTTGAAATAGAGATGATGGCCCTCAGGGAGTGGAAGCAGAGAGAGGGAAAAACAAGACCCCAAGGATTCTGGTCTGAGCATCTAGAAGACTCCAGTTGGCATTCACAGAGACAGGGCAGGTCTTGCGGGAGAGGAGCTGGAGCTCAGCCTCAGATGGGTTAAGTGTGAAATGCCTATTACACATCCAGGTGGAGATACTGGAGTTCAGACACAATGGCTAAGTTATGGCCATTAACAATTCCTTCAATGCAATGCCAGTCTTTTTCATGTCCAGATAAACAGTGGTTCTTAACCTTTTGGGAGGTTCTAGACTCCTTTGAGCATTTGATGAAAGCTACGTAGACACTTCCTAGAAGGAGAAAAACCATAGTTTTATGATTTTGCCTCTCACTGTAGGGTGTTCACAGATTACCCAAAGCCCATCTGTGAAGGAACTCCAGGCTAAGAACTAACTTAAAAAGTGAAATGGTTTGTGAATGAGCTTGCATGCTTTAGGGTCTTTTTAATATTAGACTTGATTATGAATCTACAACTCAACTGGGTCTGAGAATGAGCTTGGAAATCTCTCCATTCTTGAATTCTCTATAATTCTGTTACTATGTTCTATTTCCAAAAAGATAAATGCAATTGTTCCTGTGCTTGTTGATGAGGTAGCCTTCTGCCAGCCCCCCGCCCCACTTTCATAGCTACCAATGTGAAGGATCTCATCAGCTTCTCTTATGGCATAATTGGGGAAAGTAATGATTACTGAATTGGGAAGAATATTTATCCATCTTTTTGGCCCCCACTTTTTCCTGCTCTCTAATCCATCCTCACACCACTGACAGAGTGATCTTCTTAAACCTAAATCTGATTATGTTGCTCCCTGAATGAAATGCTTAAACAACACTCCAGCCTTCCCTGAGAGGCAGCTCTCACTCCTTAGTATGGTATACAAGGACCTTTATCAACCGGCTTGGTCTCTGGCCACAGTGCACTGCAGGAGGTCTTGGTGTGCCATGCAGATGTCATTACCAGCATTAACAACAGGAGCTATCATTCACAGAGTGGATTTTATTTTCCAACCTTATGAAAATTTTGTGCACCCAGTATTATTTAATCTACGTTAGGGAGAATGTAATTGAGGCTCCATGCAGTTAACCACCTTGCTTAAGTCCACGTGGTTGGCAGTAAGGCACTGGACTGGAATTTTAACACGTTTCTGTAACTTCAAATTCAATACATTTGTGCTACTCCATGCTGCCTCTTTCCCGCTCAGTATTGATTTTCTCTTTTCTTTGCCTGGGAGTTCCTACCGCACCTACTCTGTTCAATGATGTAATTGCCCTGATCTCTATCAAGATAAGTATGGACTTCTCTGGGCTTTTATCCATCTAATGTTTAAGAGAAATAACTTACATGTCTGGGTGGCATGCAACTGTCTGTATGCAACTGCAGCTCAGGGCTCTCCCGTCTTCATCTCTGTAAGCCCAGTGCTAAGCCAGCTCAACGCCTGGTACGCAAGTGACACTGAATTCATATGTGTGAATGGAACTCATAAACATCTGAACTCTACTCCCTAAAGACATTTACTTCAATTATCAGGGCTTCTGACTGTCCTGCATATGGGACATTTAACCAAAGGTTATTATGTGTCATCAGATACAAAATATACAAATATATCCTCCAAATATTTCTATCTATCTCTGATCATACACACACATATCATAATGATAATAATTGATAATATATTATCTGGTTTCTGCTACAATAAAAAATACTCCTCTAATTGTTTTTCTTTTAATTTTATTTCACAGAAAAGAAAGATGGCATGCCTGTCCCTTGTCTTCAACAAAGCCCTATTCCCCACCTCCTGGCTTCTCTCCCTCCTTGCCTTCACCTGCAGAACCCTGAGGGTGCCATGCTCAGCATCCCACGTCCTCCCCCATTCTCTGCATACCCCGTTACACCTGCCCCCTGTCCCCACTGCTTTCCTGAGTCAATTTTCATACCAGTCACTTGTCACCTCCCAAATGCCAAAGCCAGAAACTAACTTTCTTCCTTTTTCGACAGAAGCATTTGGCCCTATTCAAGCCCAGTTGTGTTCTTCTCTTGAATTTTGAGGAAATAATTCAACGCAGTGAAGTCAAGGGATTAAAAAAAAGAGGATGCTACAGAAGTGAGGGGAGAAGACAACAAGGTCTGGAAAGAGGGCGGTGAGTACAGAGAAGGGGAGGGATGTGGCAGAACCATTGACAGGGGTTGGGAAAAAGAGGGACTCAGACACCACAAGGCTTTGAGACGGAATGACCAGAGAACAGTGAATTCTGGCTAATCATAGGTCGGAAGCGGTGGGGCAGTGTGGTTTCGGACATGCTGGGTTGAAGGTACTGGCAGGATTTTCAGGAGAAACTATTGTTAGAGTCTGAATACTTGTGCCCCTCAAAATTTAGATGTTGAAATCTTAACCTCCAAGGTTATTAGGAAGCAGGACCTCTGGGAGGGAATGTCTTCGTAAATGGGACTGTTGCCCTTCTCAAAGCTCTGAGTGAGGTCCCTGGCCCCTTCTACCATGGGAGGACATGGCACAAAGATGGATGTCAATGAACCAGGAATCGGGCAGGTTCTCCCCAGATGCTGAATCTGCTGGTGCTTTGATCTTGGCTGTCCCAGCTTCATGAGCTGTGGGAAATAAACTTTTCTGTTTAGAAGCCACCCTGTCCGAGGGATGTTGTTACAGCAGCCAGCGCTCGCTAGGACCCCCAGCTCGCAGATCACATTGCTCAGTGGGTCTGAAGGCATGATCTCAGACAGAGGCGTAGAAGAGGCTCTAAAACCTGCCCTTTGGGTGATGCCCACACTCAGGCAGAGGAGGAGAGGGAGGCCAAGAATGCTGGTCAAAGTCCAGATAGGCAGGAGGCAACTGAGGGGAAGTTAGCATGACATATTATGGAAATCTAGCCGAAAGAAACTTCCAAAGAAGGCAGGGTAACATAATTAGATCTGATCCTCGTTCCATACTTCACATACTGAACAGACTATGAAGTCGATCATATTTTATCAATATTAAGATGGAATTCAAATTACATTTGCTTTTCAAAAAGGCACACTTTAAAAATTTC